TAGGTAGGTAGGTAAGTAGGTAGGTAGGTAGGTAGGTAGGCAAATAGATAGGTAGGTAGACAAATAGATAGGTAGGTAGGTAAGTAGTATAAGTAGGTAGGCACACAAATGGGTAGGTAGGTAGGTAGGTAGACAAATAGATAGGTAGGTAGACAAAATATAGGTAGGTAGGTAAGTAGTATAGGTAGGTAGGTACACAAATAAATAGGTAGGTAGGTAAGTAGTATCTGGTCTGTAATGTCTGTAATGTTGCTAGCTCCATTACAGACAGCTGGCTACATAGGCAGGCATGCAAATGACTAGGTAGCTACATAGTCTAATTCCCAAAATGTCCCCCGGGCGCTTTCAATAGCTGCCCACTGCACCACCTGGTGGTGGATGGGTTAAATGCAGAGACTAATTTCGCCATTGTATGGAAACATACAGTGCTGACATTGTGATGACATTATTATTATTATTATTATTAAAGAGGTAGACAGAAAGACAGCTAGTTTGCTACAAAGGAAGACAGACAGATAGCTGCATAGACCACTAGGTAGCTACATAGATTCAGACAGCTAGGTAGCTACAAAAACAGACAGACAGCTTGGAAGCTGCATAAGCTGACAGACCAATGATTAGGTAGCTCTAAAAGCTGACAGACAGAGAAACAGAGAGGTAGGTAGCTCTATAGGCAGGCAGACAGCTAGGTATCTACAATACCAGACAGACAGACAGATGCCATTGTCTTGTTTAATTACTTTAATTTGTTGGGTATCTTTCTCAAATGTCATCTCTGAGTTATTTGCATCCTCTTCGTCCTCCTCCTCATCGTCATCATCCTCACTCAGATTTTCAAAATCTGATTCTCCTTCAGCGATCGGCACATTCAGACAGATCTCTCCATCCACAATGAAACCAGAGGGTCGACCTTCAACTGGACAATCTAATATACCGTCTGCCACTTTAAAAGTGGGACATGTGTTCAGATGATTCATTTCGATTGCCTCTGTTTTAGAGTCAACATCGTCCACCGAACCCTCATCGGGCTCTTTGGACTTTCTGCCGAGGATCTGCTGGACTCTTTGAACGATAAACGTTTTCAACCAGTCGATGCCTCGTGTAATTCTCCCGATAGCAATCTGGAGATTGTTCATCTCTCCATCCTCGTCCCCTCCTGAGAGGTTGTCTCCACTGAAGGAGCTGAGAAGTAGGGCCAGGAAAAGGTTCAACACCTGAGTGGAAAGAGAGAGGAAGGTAAATGCATTAAATCTGATATTTCACACATATAAAAAGACCATGTTAAAACATATTTATTGGACTTTAATCGTTTTACTATAATACTCTGAAATGACCGACCAGTGAAAAAGGAGTGTGCCAAAAATATTAAATTAAACATAATTTTGGTCCAACTCAAACACATATGATGTCTGCAATTGTGGTTGCAGACAACTAACTTTAACTTCTTAACCTTTTTAGCCAATTACTCAGTTCTTGTTTGTGTTCACATCACCTTTTTATAGCTCCTGTACGTCAAGGAGGAGTTCTCTTCTCCTCAGCTGTGGCTTATTTCTCTAATGAAACATCTTGGTAGTATTTAAGGACAAAGGCTGCCAGAGGACGACACTGAGACATTGTTTACTTATGGTATTCAGTGAGGTCAGAGTTCCACGTTTAATTTAAGATAGGGAATTAATCTAGTTTTTCTTGTTCTCCTTGCAGATGAGAATCTGTTTCCTGTGTTCAGTTTGCGTCTTACCTTTGTCTTCCAGCCTGAGTTTGCCTTGGACCTTCAATCTATACCCAATCCTCTTTATATGGACATACAACTGGAAAGATCCCTCGCTTACCTCTTCATCCTGGTCCGACCTGCCATTCTCATACACCAACCTGTGAATCTCACCTACCTTACTCACCTTCCTGCAACCTGTAATCTTACCCTCCTCTCCAAGCCTGAACACCTTCAACAAGAGTAAGACTCCGTTTAATATACAAATCTTGCAGAAGATCCTCCGCTTTAAAGAAAGCCCTAAGCATCTACATTCTGCTTTCACAGGTACTTATCCATTTCCTCCCAAGTCAGCCACTGTCTCCATGCAAGGCAGAGTTGCCAGATTCAAGATTCAAGGTTTTGTATTGTCATTTGCATCACATGTGGTACATGAGGTGGAACGAAATTGTGTACACAGGGTCACAGTTACATCCAACAAAAGTATAAAACGTAAAAGAAAAACAGTAATAAGATCAAAGATATGAGTTAAGAAAAACGTTAACTAAAAATACACTAAGCACTAATAGCATAAAAACAATACGCCGAACAGCAGCACGAACATGAGTCTGTGTGAGCAGATGAGTACGAATGAACACAGCAACATGAAACGGATCAGCAGCAACATGATGTGGATTTTTTTCACAGTGATTATTCTGGTTAGATATTCATGAGTCTAACAGCCTCAGGGTAGAAGCTGTTCCTCAGTCTAGCGGTTCTACACTTAATGCTCCTTAACCTCCTTCCTGAGGGGAGCGGGGCAAAAAGTGTGTGTGCTGGGTGAGTGGGGTCCTTCATGATGCAGATAGGAACTGAACTATTGTACAGTCACTTTAACATTGTATTTTTACACACACTATCATATGGGCTGAGGGAGGTGTGCTGTTTTAGAGGAGGGAAGTCCTCCGATGAGCTGTATGTTGTGCGTGTGCACAGAAAAGGAGGGGGTCTAAAAAGGGTAATTATTGTTTATCTGGCAACATTGATGCCGAGCTTTGACGGGACTGAAATCAGCTGAAAAAACATTGAATGCAGCCACGAGTAGAGAGCACAGCGATTTCCCACCTCTGCTGGGGGTCTCCCCAAAACCTCCACTTTGAAACCTGGATTTTAAAAACCTTCCGTTTCAAAGGACACAAGCGTTGTTGTCGTGTAGCCGGCTCAACCGCAGCAGAAAAACTACGGTTTCAATTAAAATCCGCATTGTGTAAACAGGACCATAAAAAGGAAAACGCCAGCAAAATCTTTATAACTGCACCTGAACATGCTCGCTTCTAGTGCTGTAGTGCTAATAGGCTAAATGATTACCTCCATTCAACCTGCTATCAGATGACTTACTTTACACCCAGCATGGACCCTTTGCCACCTGCTCGCTCAGCTGTCTGTGTTTGTCCCCTCGGCAGTAGCATGCCTACTTGAGTAAGATCTTAGCACATAGTCAAGGTCAAACCCTGTTTAATGCTCGAGTCATTTGATCTAAACGAAACCACTCCTTCCTCCGATGCCTTTAAATATATTTGCCTTTATGTCAATGCACATCTATAAGTGAGATGATCATACAGTGGAGTAAGTCATCTTGGCACTGCATGGTTGACTCAATGTGCCAGTCAATACTTGATGATCAGCCATTTCCTTTTTATTTCTATGAATAACCTGAGAGGAAATAGTTTGGCTCTAGTGATTGAATATGATCCTGAGATTATGTTTGCGGCTGATTATCTTTGAGGCCTTTTCTCCTCTGGATTAAAAGGTTGCAGACAATGTTTTCGGCCTCCAGTTAACTTCTCAAAGTGTCACAAAGTGTGCTTTTTGCACAAATCTACCCAAATGTTGCATGTTTGCATCTGTGTTCACTGCATTGGTCAAGTTACTCTTTATCTCATACCTTCAAAATGTTTAAAAAATGTCCACATATGCTCTGGATTACCAATAGAGGAGCTGTGTATGTCTGTCTTTGGCAGACCTCAGCTGAAAGGGTAATAATAGACAGCTAAGGAATGCTGTACACCAAATCTTATAGCTTTATGATGTTTCATAAAACATTTTGTCAGCTTAACAGCTTCACATTAGAGACAGTTCAGATTTTAGATTCTGGACGTGCACTTTTAGCATAGCCACTCATCCTCCCCTCTATCTGCACGTTTCAGATTTAAAAGAAGCATCAGCAATAGACTAATAACTGTTGGACTCACCACTAGATTCCCAATGACCATGACCATCATGAAGACGATTAAACACATGGAAGGACCCGCCACCTCCATGCAGTCCCACATGGTCTCGATCCACTCACCGCACAGGATGCGGAAGACGATGAGGAACGAGTGGAAGAAGTCATTCATGTGCCACCGTGGCAGCTCGCAGTCTTCGGAGATCTTGCACACGCAGTCCTTGTAGCTCTTTCCAAAGAGCTGCATGCCCACGACAGCAAAAATGAAGACGATGATGGCCAGAACCAGAGTCAGGTTTCCTAACGCTCCCACTGAGTTACCGATGATCTTGATCAGCATGTTGAGCGTAGGCCAAGACTTTGCCAGTTTGAAGACGCGAAGCTAATTCCATCAGAAACAGGCGGGGGAAACAAACAAAACAAAAGGAAAACATTAAAGATGGTAATTGATTCTGCTCTTTAAAAGGAAAGTTTACTTGTTTGAAATAGGGTCATGTAAAATACGTATGAGTATTTTTCGCCCTATAAGTCACGTTTTTTTGTTGCATAATTTGCATGCGCTGCTAATTATAGGCCGATGTGACATATTTATGGATATTTTTCCCCATATTTATAAACCAATTTTTGACTGAGATATGATCGTTTTCATTCATTCTGACTGAAAAAATAGAACACTACCATTTTCAGCCACTAGATGGCACTTGAGTAGTAAGGCATGCCGTTGTATCATGTAATAGGTAAAAGTGGCTATTAATGGCACAGTCGGCTTGCCGTAGTCTGCCACTGTTGTTTGTCTGGAGCAACCGTCAAATCAGCTTCATTTCGCTGCGCCGCCCCGGCAAATTGCAGCTGATTTGACCGTCAAAGTGCATTTATTAAGTAAAAGTTCAACTGAGCCACACCTTTACTATAAGGTCGAGCAAACAAATAATTGTTTTAGGTGGTTATTTTGTTAAATTTCGAAGAAATGGACAGCGAGTCGTCCTCTGCGCGTTCATGTTTCCGTGTATTGGCTTTTGAAAATGCAGCTGATTTGACCGTCAAAAGTGCATTTATTAAGCAAACGTTAGACCGAGACACACCTTTACTATAATTTCGAGCAAACAAATAATTGTTTTTATGTGTTAATGTTGTTAAATTCTTGTTAAAGTCCTCCTGTGCACGCTCCCGCAGCCGCCATTTGGTAGCCCATCGATTTTTGGCACATCAGCCCACATTTCTGGGTTCGACTCACATTTCCGGGTGGTCAGCGGTGACGCATAATAGATGCGACGTATATGGCGAAGCGACATATTTATGGATTTTTCCACTTTATTAGACGTATTTGGACTGATGCGACTTTTAGGGTGGTGCGATGTGTACGGTGGAAAATACGGTAGTCAGTATCTTTCTTGTGATAGAGAGTAGTCAAAGAGATCTCAGTTCTGAAAAACAGTAAGAAATAGTCATGGGTACATCACTAACATAAATAAGGATGGACAAAGCAACTCCATTCACTTCCATTGTCCCAAACAGAAGCCAAAATGTCTGTTTTTTGGGTGCTGCCATGTTGCATTTTTGGAACCAGAGTCAGTCTGTACCATTGACAAATGTGAGTTGAGAATAATGTTTTAGATCAAAAGTAACTCTTGAAAGGGTCCTGTTTTGAGCAGCTGACAGTCTGACTCACACATGAGATATCCTCCCTGATTTAGATTCTCTTTGCTGCAGGTAAGATACTGACTGCTCCTATCAACTTTACACAACTCTGCCTAAAAGCCCAACTATAATTTTAGTGCATTCACACAAATGCAATCTTATATCTTACCAAACGGAAGGACCTAAGGACGGACAAACCCTGGACGTTGGCCAGCCCCAGCTCCACCAGACTGAGAGTGACGATGATGCTGTCAAAAATGTTCCAGCCAACTTGAAAGTAGTAATAAGGATCCATGGCTATAAGCTTGAAAACCATCTCAGCTGTGAAGATCCCGGTGAAAACCTAAAAAGGAAAAAAAAATCCCAAATAATATTTCAAGTGTTGAAAAAGTTTGTTTAAAATTAGATGGAAAAAAAATAAAAAATACTGACCAGGTTTCCAACGGAGAGCATGTTGTCAAACTCCGGGGTCATGGGGTAGTGCTCCATGGCCATGAAAAGGGTGTTGAGCACAATGCAGATGGTAATCGCCAGGTCAACGAAGGGGTCCATGACCACAAAGTGTACCCAATTTTTAAAGACAATCCAGGGTGCACAGCAGTCCCACTTCAAGAACATGTCTGCAAATTTGTACCAGCATGGCGGGCACGGCCTCTGAGCCTCCTCCAACTCTAAACAAACAAGAAAAGAAGAGGTGGGAAAAGGGAAACATTTAACACATCCAAACTATCGCTGCCACGAGCATAAAGCTTATCTTTACGTATTTGATTCAGCAGCTCGTGAATGAGTGGTATTTACTCAAGCCGTTGCTGCTCCACTTTGTATACTGGGATGAAAATAGCCACAGGGCTGAACACCATGAGGGCATGGCACTAAATGTTGACAGGGATCTCAGCTGCACACCGAATGATTGGCCTCACTGTGACAGCATCAAAACAATGCTACTGTCGTCTTTGGAATAATTACCTGCCAACTGGTTGCTAATCACAGCAATTACATGGTAAAGGGTTAGTTCAGACCATTTGAAGTGGGCATCTGTGGGAAGCTATTGTACGTGTTGCAGATGTAGCTCTTTAAACAACTTTGATTATAATTTAACTCGGACTGACAAGCTAACAGATTATTATTTATCAGAAATATCAAGTTATTCCTGGCTACTGGTGCTGCTGCTATTTGAACTTCCAAACAACAACACAAATCTGTATAAATAAGCTTTTAATGCAACATTGACATCAAGGTTTATAGAAAAGCCTGCTGATGGATCAAAAATGTTTTGATACTGTGCTTCTTTTAAGATGGAAGCAATTTACATTTGTCTTGGCCCTGCTTAGACTAGCTGCTAACCTTTTCCACCTGTCAAAGTTTAGAAAACTTTAGAAAGCCAAATAAATAATCTTTGGATGTTATGGTATTGGGCTGCAGATCAATGGAAATGAAGGGGAGACAGACTTCAAATTCCTCGGGCTTCACATTTCAGAGGAGCTGGGCTGGAACGCAGTGTTGCCAGATCTTGCGATAGAAATAAGCAACCAGCTCTATGAAAACAGGCCCACAAAAAGCGCAACTGGCAACCCTACACATTGTGTATAACGGAGGGCATTTTTCAACAGTATAAACATACATTTATTATGGCATTACACATAAACAACAGCAAAATTATGCTAAACACTTTGAATAACATACTTTATGCCTAAAATCTAATTTTTCCTACATATTTTTAAAAACAAAACATCCTGACATCTGCGTATGAGTAGAGCCACCTAGTTGTCGGCCACAGTATGAGCGTTTGTTTGGGTGTGCGCCTGTTGCCTCGCCAACTTGGACGAGAGTGATAAACAGGAAACGGTGGCGTGGAAAGGACAAACTACCTACTACCACTCGTCTTTTGCTTTATTGTGTGGAGCTGGGAGATAATCAACTAGTTTCACTCGGAGAGAAAGTCAAGCTCAAATAAGGAACATCACATTCAAAACAAGCCCAAAAAACTGCAACCCGTGACTCATAAGATTTGCAAGTGACTTTAGAAAAAAACAAGCCCAAAGTTGTCCTGATGCATGCTCAATAATCCAGGTAGAAAAATCTAAAAAAGTTAAATCTGGTCCTCTGGACATTCAAAAAAACAAAACAAAGCAAATCAATAAAAAAATGTAGAAACGTTTCGTCTCTCGTCCGAGAGACTTCTTCAGTCTGAGGTGCTGTTTTCAGCTCAGTCTCTTAAATAGCACCTTCTCAGAGTGGATCAACCAGTTTTGCTGCTGACAACCAAAACC